TAAAACATCTAAATCAGCAGGGCATGATAGAATACCCGGTAAACTTCTAAGAGACGCTGCTGAGGTAATAGCACCATCCCTGTCAGCAATCTTTAACGCATCTATAAACACTGGTATATTTCCTGAAAACATCAAGATTGCTATCATTTCTCCAATTCATAAGACTGGAAGCAAAACTAATTGCGATAATTATAGACCAATCTCGGTTCTATCCTCAGTTGCTAAAATATATGAGAAATTAGTTACAGAGCAACTAGAAATTTATCTTGAAACTAATCACATTCTTGCAGAACAACAAGCAGGATTTAGGAAAAATCACTCTACACAAACTTCTCTACTTAACATCACGAACCAATGGCTAATGTATATGGATAAGGGTTTGTTAAATGGAGTGATTTTTTTGGATCTCAAGAAAGCGTTTGACTGTGTTGATCATAATATATTGTTAAAAAAAATGCATTGTTATGGAATAAGAGGTCATACGCTTGCTTGGTTCCAGTCCTATCTTTCTAGCAGGATTCAAATATTTAAGGTAGATCAAACAATGTCCAAGACAAGAACAGTTAAATGTGGAATACCCCAAGGTTCTAATCTTGGGCCACTTCTTTTCTTATTATATATAAACGACCTGCCAAACTGCCTGACCTCATCTTCAGCAAGCATGTTTGCCGATGACACAAATGTTTCAACCAATGGCAAAACAAATGGCGAACTACAAGAACGCATTAACGTGGACTTAGAAAATATACACCAATGGTTACTTGCAAACAAACTTACACTTAACAAAGATAAAACTGAATACATGATTATTGGTTCAAGACAACGAATTTCAAACTTAGTACTAACGGACCCTAAAATTGAGCTTGGTGAATCAGTCATTAAACGGGTTCACAAATCAAAAACTTTATTCGTAATTATTGATGAACATCTTTTATGGAATCATCAAATCCAAAATATTGTCACAAAAGCTTCAAAAGGAATAGGAATGATGCGACGAATAAAACAGTTTGTTCCCAAATCAACCTTAGTAAAAATATATAATGCCATTGTGCTATCACATTTTGATTATTGTAGCTTGGTTTGGGATAACTGTTGTGATTACTTAAAAAACAGACTTCAGAAATTACAAAACAGAGCGGCCCGAATCATCAATGGTAAAACTTATGAAGTTAGTTCTGAGGATGTTTTAAAAGAATTAGACTGGCAACCTTTAAACCAACGCTATAAAACCAATAAATCGATTTTTATGCACAGAATACGAAACGAAAAAATGCCATCATCAATTTGCAACATGTTCAAAATTAAAATAAATGACAGATATGATTTAAGAAGTAACAATAACAACTATGATCTTGGAAAACCTGAAACAAATTTTATGAAAAAGAGCTTCAGTTATTCAGCTGCATCCCTTTGGAATGACTTATCAACTACAGCAAAAGAAAAAGGCATTAGCCTTAACAAATTTAAACGTATTCTTGACGGCACTTGATTCCTTTTGGTAACTTTGTAAATATTTAAATAGGATAGGATATATTTAGATACAAATGTAGTGCATGCAATTATTAAATGTTTTCTCTGTTTTTGTGTGTATATTTGTGTTATTATATTTATATAGCTTGTAAATACTGTAATAAACGGCCTCTTGAAAAACAGGTGCCTACGAGCCCTGAAGAGCTACCGTTTTAAAATATTTTTAAATAATAATAATAATAATAATAATATAGAACAAAATATGCAAATATGTAATATATATATATATATATATATATATATATATATATATATATATATATATATATATATATATATATATATATATATATATATATATATATATATAAATATTTATATATATATATATATATATATATACTAATTATAATCTTAAAATTTTATTAATCGCTACACATGCACAGTGTTTCACGCTTTCAAAGCGATCTTCAGGTGGTACTACTCTAAATAGTTTGCTTGCGCCATTCATTCAACGGTCCGCTGACGCGCGTGCGTGCATGCGCGCGTGCGTTTAAAATTCCGCGCGCTAAACGAGTTTCTGTGGCGGCACTTTGAAAATAGTTCTGTTCGTTTGCAAATTCTTGCAACCTTTGCTTAGAGGAGAAGTTTTATATAATTAAATCTCACAAAGATAGGACGTTGAACAAACGAACAGAACTATTTTCAAAGTGCCGTCACAGAAACTCATTTAGCGCGTGGAATTTTAGACGCACGCACGCATGATGCAATCGCGTCAGCGGACCGTTGAATGAATGGCGCAAGCAAACTATTTAGAGTAGTATCGCCTGAAGATCGCTTTGAAAGCGTGAAACACTGTGTAGCGATTAATAAAATTTTAAGATTATAATTAGTATTTTGCTCTATCAATTAAATTTGTTATTGAGCACTCTTTTTGTACAACGGACAACGATTTATTATTGTAATAACTTCTAAACAAATACAGCTTTTAAAGAGAAATAACTTGCATTAAGTAGACGAAGGACTAATTTAGATTTTGATATATTACAGTTGTATTTCACTTAAAAATTCACGGAGATTTTAATCTTTAAAATCGGGAGCATATTTCTGGATGTGTCTGAAATATGCAAAAAACGGTGTATCAAATATTAATCAAGATTTGCCCGACTGAAACATGCACTATTACCAGTAAATAAATGACACTTGACAAATTGTTTATTATGAAACAAAGTATTATTATATCTACAAAATACAAGCAAGATTTATTCGTCCGAAATTCGCGTGTGTTCCTAGCACGAATACGTTTCCTTATTTCATGAGACCAGCTGCATCGCGAAGAATCGTTATGGATCGTTCGTAGTTCTGAATTAGCTAGGGCATGCTGTCACAATGGAATTGTGAAGCTCTTCTAACTTCTGCAACGTTCTGAGATCTTGCTAAGAACACTCAAACTCGTTTGCCTTTTCTTAATCTTGGCAAGTTCAGAGTAAACTGAGAATTATATGAAACACAATCAAACCATATAACTCCATAAGACATAACAATTAAGCAACTCCCCAGAGACATGCAACATTTTTGGAACAAAGCGTAACAAAATAGTAGCGTTGATACGGTGATGTGTATTTGCAAAAAGCAATATTATTTCCTTCAATAAAGAATTATAATATTCATTCTGCTCTAACCGAGAAATAATCAACTCAGTCTGTTTGAACCCATTAAAAATATAAAAAAATTAAGGCTATTTACGAAAAATTTAAGCGCCTGCCTTCCATGGTCAGTCTTTCATGTACTTTTAAGTTTGTAAAGACCTAATATTAAATATTTTCATATTTCAGGAAACAATGAGCTAAGACTTACATGTAAGATGTCTAAATCTACGCCATATCCCTTACAAACCCTAACGATAATTGGCGCTGAAATACAAGTTACCCTGATATCTCATTAAGCAAACAAACGCTGGGGTTAATATTTGATATGCCGATTTTCGCTAATTTTAAGCCCGCCGCACACAAGAGCAACTTGCTGAGCTAACCGACTCGCGACACGTTGGGAAAACTACTCAACAACAACATAATTAACAAAATTATTTGCATTTTCCTCCATTTTGTTCCATGTTAAATGAAGAAACCATGGTTTGTCATTGGCTAATTGATTGAAACAGCTCAGCACTTAGCTCACAACATCCGCAGACGATGAGATTTTTTCCTCGCGAGGCGAAAAATATCAAACACGATAGATATTTTCCTCAAGGCCTCGAGAGGTCAAATCCTCACGCAAACTACTTGCTGAGCTAACCGCCTCGCGAGGCGGTTAGCTCAGCAAGTTGCTCTCGTGTGCGGCGGACTTTATAGACACATCCCAAAGTATGCTGCCGATTTTGAACATTATATTAATATCTCCGTGAATTTTTAAGTATAAAATACAACTGTAATATATCAAAATCTAAGTTAGTCCTTCCTCTCTTTAATGCAAGTTATTTCACTTTAAAAGCTGTACTTGTTTAGAAGTTATAACGAATCAAACAGGAGTACTTTTTTGGGGGACACCCGGTATATATATAATTATTATTATTATTATTATTATTATTACTAGAGTCACAACAGACGTGCAACTTTACAAATGTCAAATTCCTATTTGTTACAGTTAAAAAGATTTGATCTATCCTAATTAGTTATATAAAAGTTAAAAATAGTTGAAAAGACATCTATTTATAAAGGATCGTTCAAATCGCTCCGTTTTAATTTGAGGTAAAATAAAGTTATGTTCCCTTTTTCTTAAGATCCTTTGTTTATACACAGGAAGCAATTCATGTAGGGCATGTTCTGGATTCGATACGATTTTGTTGAATAATTTTCTGTCTCTCTCCTCGATCACTTCAGATATCTTAATACTCTTTGTCGTATATCCATAACGATAAGCCCACCGGAAAAAAACTTGTCTATACGATCCAAATATTTCTTTTGGAGTGCAGAGCCCAACCGGCACTTCAATGCAATAGTAAAAGAGTGACATGATTAGCGAATCGAACAATTTGCTCTGCTGATCTGCAGAGTAACCATGCACAGCGTCTACACACTCTCAATATGTACATATGCCCGCTGGCCTTCGACAGAAGTTCATCGATATGAAGATCCCAGCAACATGGATTTTCCTGAAATGTGACACCTAATAATTTCAACCAGCTCTTTCGTTCAATGCCTACAATCGGTGTCGGTAACGGTTTCATGGACCCACAGTGCACAACCATTTCCCACGTTTTAGAAAGATTTAATTTAATGTCATTTGATCTGCTTCTGACCAATTCCGAATGCTTTCCACCTCAGCCTCAGCAGAATCCGATCCCATATATATATATATATATATATATATATATATATATATATATATATATATATATATATATATATATATATATATATATATATATATATATATAGAAAGACATAAAAACTTGGCAAGCTTTGTTTGGCATATTTATTACTATACAGTTTCGTACCACGTAAATAACGTCGCACTCTTCAGATAAAATAGCCTATGTTTGACCTATAGCTTCTTAACGAACTTTTTTAAATATGAACTTTTTAAATATGTATTTTTTAAAAAGTTCGTTAAGAAGATATTTAAAAAGTTCGTTAAGAAGCTATAGGTCAAACATAGGCTATTTTATCTGAAGAGTGCCACGCTATTTACGTGGTACGAAACTGTATAGTAATAAATATGCCAAACAAAGCTTGCTAAGTTTTTGTGTCTTTCTATTATGCTCTGGTTATCCATTGAGCACTCTATCATTGGTTTTTATAACCATACACAAACTATTTTATATATATATATATATATATATATATATATATATATATATATATATATATATATATATATATATATATATATATATATATATATATATATATATATATATATGCGCATGCTCACTGCTTGCAGTTTGAGCACTCTGGCAATGGTTTGATGTCCCACATTCGTGAGACATCAAAGGTAACTATTTATAGTGGTTACTTTCATCCTGCTCATCAGCACTACACTGATGAGGCCCAAAAGGCCGAAACGGTAGCGAAACGATATATATATATATATATATATATATATATATATATATATATATATATATATATATATATATATATATATATATATATATATATATATATATATATATATAGGGTGTATCAAAAAAAGCGCAATCCCCGACTGAAATGTAAATTGCTAAAGAAATAATAGACGAAAACGTTAAAGTTTACATTCATTTTAAAGCGTAGCCATTCAGCTTTCTAACAGTAGGTTGTTTCTTAAATTTGACTCATTGGTTCGCGGGTAATAATACTTTACGTTATTGCGATTGGAGATTAAAAAAATTGAGATGGAATAACAAATCATGAAAATAACTGTTTTTTTCATTAAAACAAAAAAATGTTGCATTTTAATAAATGGATTGTAACAATAAGTATAATTACGGCTTTTCTTCCACTATTTTTAACACAGTTTGTAACTTCAAATGCGATATAATTTTGGCTTGGACCATCTTAGACTTGCTCCAAGTCTCTCTTTGTGGAGACCCACTATATTGTACGTTACATGACGTACCGCTGAGGGGGAGAGGAGGAAAGAAAGAGAGACTTGTAACATCTGGCAGTAGACATACTTCCGACTGGTCAATTTCGACCAGCCGGAAGTACATGGCCGCATTGACTTATCATGTGTTTAGGGGGGAAGGCGACATCTGGACTTATTTGTTTAACATAAGTAATTTTGTATTCACGAGATTTCTTGTAGATTTCACATCACTTTTGACTGCGTGCATTTGGAATTTTGGGCATTATTTTTGCAATTTATTGTAAACAACGATTATAAGAAGAACGAATAAATTACAAATCAGCCGTAATCGTCATAAACCTCGATGACCACCAGGTTTTTGTGTTTGACAATTTGTATTTCATTAAATATTTATATGCAAGGTCAGTATAAACGGGTTATCATATAAAATGATCATTCTAATGAATTGATAAAACGAATTATATCTAATATGTACGGCCGCGTTTTTTACACGGCCACTACTGAAGCGTTTAGCTTAATTGATTGTTGAATAAATCGATGACTTGCTTAGTTGCTTTCTGTTTTGAACTTAACCACCGTTTAAGCTAAACGGGCTTGATACAACTGGCCCCAGACTCGGCCCCAGATAAACATTTTTGTATTATCGAGATCGAAACTATAGTAAATTGGAAACCGTGTCAATAATAAAAACGTACAATGAACTTATGAACATGCGGAAAATTGTCACGCCCAAAATTTATACAAATTTTTAAAATTTTCCGCATGTTCATAAGTTCATTGTACTTTTTTATTATTGACACGGTTTCCAATTTACTATAGTTTCGATCTCGATAATACAAAAATGTTTATCTGGGGCCGAGTCTGTGGCCAGTTGTATCAAGCCCGTTTAGCTTAAACGGTGGTTAAGCTCAAAACAGAAAGCAACTAAGCAAGTCATCGATTTATTCAACAATCAAGCTAAACGCTTCAGTAGTGGCCGTGTAAAAACGCGGCCGTACATATTAGATATAATTCGTTTTATCAATTCATTAGAATGATCATTTTATATGATAACCCGTTTATACTGACCTTGCATATAAATATCTAATGAAATACAAATTGTCAAACACAAAAACCTGGTGGTCAACGAGGTTTATGACGATTACGGCTGATTTGTAATTTATCCGTTCTTCTTATAATCGTTGTTTACAATAAATTGCAAAAATAATGCCCAAAATTCCAAATGCACGCAGTCAAAAGTGATGTGAAATCTACAAGAAATCTCGTGAATACAAAATTACTTATGTTAATTAAACAAATAAGTCCAGATGTCGCCTTCCCCCCCTAAACACATGATAAGTCAATGCGGCCATCTACTTCCGGCTGGTCGAAATTGACCAGCCGGAAGTATGTCTGCTGCCAGATGTTACAAGTCTCTCTTTCCTCCTCTCCCCCTCAGCGGTACGTCATGTAACGTACAATATAGTGGGTCTCCACAAAGAGAGACTTGGAGCAAGGCTAATGCCAACACCACTTCACGTCAACTCGAGCCTGCTGACGCGTGCGAATTTGTGATAGGCCGCGCGCGGTGATGGCGTATAAGGGGACTGAAACTGATAGATAGATAGATAGATAGATAGATAGATAGATAGATAGATAGATAGATAGATAGATAGATAGATAGATAGATAGATAGATAGATAGAAACTTTTATTTAAACACGCTAACCATTGTCAACCTAGGCTGATTTCCACAAGGGGCGTGTACAACAATAAAATTACAAAGATATAGTATATAGTAAGATATTATTATAAGTAATAACATGACTAGAGGGAAATTAGCGATTAAATTTCCCGACGCCGAGGGAAGATTTGTGAAAGGCCGAGGGCGAAGCCCGAGGACTTTCACAAATCTTCCCGAGACGAAGGGAAATTTAATCGCTAATTTCCCGACTAGTCATGTTATTAGTTTGTAATATTATGATCGCCGAGGAAATCTCAAAAAAGTTTGCTGCAGAGATAAATTTAGCTGTTTGATTTTGTATTTTTCAATGAAGTTGTTTATGAGTTTGACTATTGATTGAAATAAGTGTACCTTTGGGACATGCTTTGTTGTTGTGAGACTTATGTAAATCACTGCATTGATTTTAAACTTAGTTTTCGAATATGGCTGCAACT